TGCAACTAACTCCATAACTGTAATAACTGAAAGGGTATGGAAGCATAATAAATGATTGGAGTCAAAACGGTTCCTCCAAAATTTGTGATAGTGAAAGATGGGAAGTCCATGTGATCACATGTTTCTCTGGTTTTATTTTATACCATCAACCTCAGGTGTCTTCTTGACCTTCTGGTGAACTATTTTTTTTTACTGGTCAACTCCTTAGTTAAATATGATCTTATATTTTCTGTCCAAAATCATTTTTAGTTCGGATCCGTTTATATATCCAGATTTAAACTTAATCTCTAATATGATCTGTATTTTAAGACTTTTAATGTAAATAACAAAGGGGAATCTCTTTCAAAAAAAAAAAATAACAAAGGGGAATAATGTGGTTTAAATTTTAAGCGTCATGCATCGTATCGCACACAATAGGCGGCATGTGGTAGCTAACAAAAGTATGATTTTTTTTTTTTTTTGGTCACACAAAAGTATGATTAATTATCGTTTAAAAAAGGTAAATATGATGAATATGAGTACCTTTTTAGTAATGGCTTTTGGATCATTTTATATATGTTGTCACGAGTTTTTTTTTTTCTTCTCTTTTGAATCTTTTCCTATATTCATATTCGAAAGAAGTAAGTACTACTATATTATAGAGATCTGCTAACAATAAGTCAAATTATCATTATTATTTCGCATTAAATAAGTTGTAAACGCCGATTAATTATAGGGTGAATGAATTTTTAGCAATAATAAATGTTCTTTAAGCTCATCATGCAAAATAAACTTCATAGTTCATACCACCAGAGGCTTCAGAAAATAGAAGCGTAAAGGATTGGGTGTGAGTTGTCTTTTTAATTGTGTATTTGTGGTATGAATATGAGCAGACCTATATTTAATTAATACGAATTATACTACTAATTAAATACAACAGGGATGGTTGTAGCTAATTATAGCAAAGACAAGGTGTTAAAAACTTTAATTATCATGAAATTAAAATGCTTAGAAAGACGGGTAAAATACTTAATTTAAATCGTCTCCCAAGATTCTTGCAGATGTACATTGCATTTTGCCGTAAGACTTTATCATCTCTATTCTCACCCCTTATTTTAATAAAATTCCAAATCTATTTGAATAAGGATTCGATATCAAGATCAGAGCATTCATGGCCACGTCTAAGTCACTGTCTGAAACTCAACGGACTGGTTTAGAAGAGTGGTATCACTTGCAAAGAAGTAGGCTACGACAAGTGAATGATTTTTGTTGAATATGATTTAATCATGTGGACAAGAATTCTTGAGAATGACGTCGTGTATTTTCCGTTCATTTTGTTAGAAGGTGCCGATGTCGCAGATAAAGCTATTCAAGATAACATCCGGTTGTGGGTAGAAAAGCACAAAGGCGAGCCACACAATGTCATCTTGATCACGGGAGATGGAGGATTCATGGAGTGCGCGAGACTCTTGCAACAAGATGGTCACAACCTCATACTCGCATCCGTGTTTAANGCTGATTTCCTTAGTTTTACTCAACTCGATACTAATGTGAGGGATTGGAGGCGATTTATACTTCTCGATGATAAGATTGACGAAATCATGGCTAGACAATTGGTTCTGAACTACTCGAAGAGAGGAAACAAATGCAT